CGCCTGCGACTCCGAGTAGGAGTGGATGTCCTCAGAGGTCAGGATCTGGGGGAGGCACGTGGGAGCGCTGACCCCCTGCCCCAGGTAGGATGCAGGGGGGTAGTAGGAGCACACGTGGTACTGGGAGCTGACGGCGTGGTGGCCCTCCATGCCCTTCACCTGCTGGAGAGAGAAGCGTGACAGCAGCCTGTCAAAGCCAAGCCCCGGTACCGGGAAGCTTTCCAGACCCCTTCAACTGCACACACCAGGCCAGGGTCAGAGGAGAAGTGCAGGTGCAGCCCCTGCACCTCCCCAGAGACAACCCACCTCAGACTGGTGGTAACTGCTCTGCCAGGGATCCACGGGGCAGCTACAGGGGACAGTCCTACCAACTGACTCGCCTGGGACACGCTCCACAGCGTCTGAGCAGCCACGCACACACACAAACACATCACGTTTACAGAATCATGGAATCATTAAGCTTGGAAAAGACCTCTGAGATCATCAAGTCCAACTGTCAACCCAACACCACCATGCCTTCTAATCCATGTCTTGAAGTGCTGCATCTACACATTTTTTTGAACACCTCCAGGTACGGTGACTCCACCACTTCCCTGGGCAGCCTGTTCCAATGCCTGACTACAACCCAGGGAGATAGAAAAATATATTCCTGATTTACCCAGCAAAACCCAGCTGCGGACAGACTACACGGGAAGCCTGTAGTAGAGCCACAGCTGGACACCAGTCAGCAGGTCCGCTGTGTCAGCATGGTGTTGTGTCCACCAGGCAACTCCTTCTCCCTGCCACAGCCTGCAGCAAGTCAGCAGCACTCAGAAACCAAAGCTAATTCTACTCCATTGCCCTGAAATCATCCCAACTCATCTCCTCAGAGAGGCAGTGATGGTTTTTCAAATTTTTGCTTTATGAAAGAACTACCATCTACTATTATTTATTCCAAAGCCCTAGAATGTAACATGACTACAGTGCTCCAAAAAAACGCAGCCAAACACTTCACAAGATTACGATTCTCAACAGGGAAGGTAACGCTACCTGGTCTCCCTAAGTCTGCTGGGCACTGAATGATTGAAAGATGGAAAGCTTCTGGGCAGAGAAAAAGTATCACAGTTTTGTACCAGGCACAAAGGCTGTGCCAGCAGTAAGGCACATCCAGTTATGCCATCAGACATCGTCTTTGCAAGCAGAAGTGCTTGGTGGCCTTTTCAGCCGCGTCTCACCTCAGTTAGAGGAGCTCTGCCCACTCCACTGCAGTCCCCTCAATTCCCAGCCCTGTTCCTCAGCACCTCCCAGGCCGCAGAGCTCAGACCCGAGGAGCAGCAGAGGCTGGGGGTGGACCTGCTGTCCCAGTGGCCACCCCTTGCCAGCAGACCCCCCAGGTCGGGTCCTGGCAGAAGAAGCCACCTCCCAGCGAAGCAGCCAGAATGCAGTCAACCCTTGTTTTCCAGGGATCCCCTTAATAATACTACGCCTGGCTGGAAATAACGTGGCCCAAGTCACATAAAATCTTGCTGGTGCTCTCTGAGACAGAGGGCAATATCCTGCCTTCCATGTGGAGCCAGGTCTGGGGCGAGATGAAGTGCAGAGAGCGAGCGGTGGCTGTTCAGAGGGAGCAAAGTGCACCTCTGCCCGTGTTCTGACAGCAGCACAGTCGCACGTATTTGCACATGTGCTGAGGGATCAGCAGGACATGCTTTTAGTCTGCCAAAGTAAGGAGTTTTTCTATTATAAATCAAAGCAATGATTAAAAGGTGATTATTCTACCCTCTGCACCCTACGCATGCAGAAAAAGTTCAGCATTCACCAAAGTTTCATCATGATAAATAGTAAATTGCTCTTGAAAAAATTTCACGTGTCATCCCAAGGAAGCCTGAACTTAAAAGAGCCACCGATGTCCTGTTTGCTGTCCTGAAAAAGGGCAGTCTCCTCTTGGACACAGACATCCATGCTTTGCACAGACTCCCTCAGCAAAACCCAGGCTGCCTCTGCCCTGAAATTACGCACTGGCAATACAAACCGCCCAAAAGCTCGGTCCAAAGGCTGTTTTGAATATGCACATCCACAAAGCTCAACAGCTGTAGGAGTACTGGGGGGAAAAAGTTATAAAGTTCCTCTCTGCCTGCCGTTTTGCGCACACCATCTTCCTCCCCTCGGTGGGGCAGGGCTGTGGGCAGCATCTGTGGTGCTGACACCTCCACCTCTCCCTTGTGCAAGCGCACGTGTCCACGCGTACAACCGAGAAAAGGTCGCCTGTGGGAGACAGCATTATTTCAGCTGTAACAAAATGGAGGGATCACTCCCTGGCACTGAAACGATCACGTGCCAGTTTCCTCTCCCTATAGAGTGGATGCAGTGACCTGTTTACTTTCAAACCTTTTTTTTAGGGTTTTTCTCCATTTCTTAAAAAAACAACTCACCTAAAATCTCTGGATGCAATGAATTATTACTACTATTATTATTAGTGTGTGGTAGCTGGCTAGCAAGAGACATGTTTTATAATCTTATTACCCACACCAAGTCTATGAACCACAGTTCGACCGACAGCCAGAGACTTGGCTCTGCAGAGAATATGCTGTGTATTAACCGCTGAAGAAAATCTAAAAGCTTTTGGTTTTGTTTTATTAAACTGTTTAGAATACACACCGCAGTAAATCTGAACCATAAGGTTTCCTTTTTATAGTGCTGAGCAATCCTATTTTACAGTAACAATAAAAAAACAACCAGTCGTAAAAATTCTTGACCTTAGCGCTGCTTTAAAAAGGGGGCTTAGGAGATCATTACCCCACGAGAAGGGGCATTTACTACTATTAACTCCTGCAGCTCTGCAGAGTCCTTGCATATTTTTGGGTGCCAGAAAGGGAGACAAAAACAGCCCTGGGGAGACCCTGGAATATTTAGATTACTTCTACCCCAGGGCAGTTCGGCCTTCCAAATGCTGCAGCAAGGTGCCAGTTGTGGGATCCTTCCCTGGGGGAACGTTGGGGTCACTCTGGGATCACAGGAGGAGATGCCTGGCCCTCTGGTGTCTTCTCCTGCCTCCCTCGCCCCTTCCAGCCCTACAGTGAGGCCAAGACAGGCGGGGCACTGTGGTTTGTACCACAGCAGGCTACGTGCTGTAAGAGCCAGGCGTGTTTTAGGTGAGGAGGTGCTGTGGAAGGGAAGGGCGGGCACCTCCTCTTTGCTGAGAGCCAGCTGAGCTCCTGACGAACACCTGAGCTGCTCGCAGCGCACCTCCTTCCAGCCACACATCGCTCGTGCCTGCCCCAGCTGCAGGACTGATTCACCAAATCCCTCACCAGCTTCAGCGGGAGACACGCACCACCGAAGAAGCACACTTGGCCTATTCAACATTTACGGATTCCTCTAACTTGTACAAGACAGTGCACAATCGGTAACTTTTTAAGGGATGTACCGCAAACAACAGTGGGGTGCTCGTAACTCCTGAACAAACAAATATGGCCTGACTAAAAGACCATGCAGGCAGTGGAAATTCTTTCCCTGTTCCCTTGTAAAGCCAACATGGGGCACCAAGAGGCAGCTACAGCTCATCCGCAAACCGGCACGCTGGAAGCAGGATTTGTCTGTCACCAAGCACAACAGTCAGTGGGGCCCTACAGCAGTGCCCAGCGGTGACAGAATATGCAGCAAAAGCCAGGGAAGCATAAAGAAAATGCTCTTGCATCATTTCAGACCATTCCTACGAAAAAGCTCTCTTAACAGCTGGTGGAAGAGCAGCGTAAAGCCCAGCTCCTCCTTCCAAGCTCCTGGCAGCATCTGAATAACCTCTACACATCTTCATGGAGGAAGAGCCGAAGAGAGCAGGTGGCCAGACCAGAGACAGAACAGAGGCAAGGCAGGCAGAAATGGTGGCTCACTTCTCCATCCAGCCTCAGAGACTACAAAACAGTCCTGCCCTTCCCAGATGATTTGTTCACATTAAGCACCACCCAGGTAATTCTTCTATTTGCAGAAGCTGCAAGCTGCCATCTCCTTGTGAGCAAGTGTTACTCTTAGCACCACCTTCACATTTTGCAGTTGATCCTGACTATGGGGCTTACTCCCAAGAAGAACACATAGGAGGAGGTCATGGATGCTAATCCTGGGTGACAAAGGCTGCAAAAAATTCAGAGCAGCAGAAGAGCTCAAAGCACTGTCCTTCGGCTCAGCCACTGCTGTGCCACATGATTTTGACCAAATCAGTCCACTCAGGCTTTCCATCCCTCTGTCTCACCCATGACTCACCAACAGCTGCCTTAAACCAAAATCAATAATTATGGAAACACCAGACAAACTCTGTTAAAAATGTTAACATAGCCTCCTCCTTCTGCCTTGATCTTAAAAATAAAGCCAGCTTTAGGGGGCGCAAAATTGCATTTTGCATTTATGTGCTGTTTTTTGCAAACAACAGAATTCATAGGTTGGTTTTTGGCACGAGGCGAGAAGGCATCTGCTGGGCACCAGCGTGAAAATCCAGACATCAGGCGTCTCCTCTCTGTCACCTGCGGGCACGTTGTTTAACACTTCCCTGCCTCAGTTTCCCCCGCTGTAAACCAGGGTTGCCACGACTCTCCCACCTTGCAATGCTACTGCCCATGAGCTGACCCCTCACAACTACTGCTGCACTCACGCTGCCCAAGGCGGCTTTGTTTTGCTCCTAAAACCAGCTAAGCATCTTTTCCAGCACGAGTTAAAAATGAGTCTATGATACCCTGCCTTGACTTACTTTGACTCTAGCACTGAACATACAAGAGACATCTATATCTGTCCCTCCTTGATAGACAAACTTAATTAACCTTTGCTATTCTGTTCCAACCTATTCTTTTAGACAAAGGCAGTGACCCATAAACAATATGTTACCATCAGAATCTCAACTGCGGTGACACCTAGAGATATAGCCCTATCAGCAGTATCGGAAAACAAACCGCTTAGATTAGCTCCTCCAAGAAATATGGATTGCATTCATGTCACACATGAGCTGTCAGAAACATTAGGATACTTTTAGCATAAATCTGCAGTGTGAAGGGTATGTTATGAATACAGTACATAATACACTGCTTACACATAAAATTGGGATTGTGTCGAGTGACTTGCACAATCTGTATATATTTACACACACACACTTCTCACACATTTTACACCTATGTCTGGAGAGTTAGACTGCACATTTCTGCAGCAAGGCCAGGCTTATTGGAGGAAAAGACTGTGCCAGAAACTAGAAACAGGTTGTGAAGTTGAAAAGAGCAACCTTTTTTACTAGCAAGCAGCTATTCTCAAGAGTCCAAACTGCTAGCTGCCCTATCACGGCCACACTTCTCTGGATTTAGTAAAAGACAGTTTTATATGTTTGCTACTTTTTAAGAAATCCTTATAAAACAGTTTCCTACCTCGGCAATGCTAAATATGTCACTTCCAAATGGTAAATGTAATTCCCAGAATTCACCAGAAAATGAGCTAAAATTTCTCAGTCTGACTCTCACCAGTACTTATTTCAGGTTTTTGCTTTATACCGGTGTAAGGAAAGAACAAAGAAGTTGAGGTTTTGGAAGTGAGAATACTGGTTTGGGAAGGAAGGAAAGGCAGGCATACAAAGTGAAGGAAGGGAAAAAGACACATCAGAGCATGAATCAGAAATTACATTAAATTCTGAAATTATTCCAAAACCTCCTGGCCAGCCTTAACCTTTCTCCAAAGAAGGATCCCTGGAGTTACCGGAGTAACAAAGAAAAGAGCCATTGGTCCCCAGGTGTGTGAGTACATTCTGCATCTTCCAGATATTCAACAGTCTGGCTGTAGGATCCAGAAGAGTTTCAACACTTCTTGGGGAGGACATCGACTCACAAGGAATTCCGATTACCCTTGTGCCGTGGGTCACATGCCAGCAGTTTCACTGCCAGCTTGGAGAATTAAACGTGATTAGACTCGGACGTGTCCATCCTGGTTTCACTTTTCCTGTGACAAAGACTGCAGTCACCCCACCATCGTCCAGTTGCGGTCCCTACGCGGGGCGCAGAGAGACCTGCTTCAGAAGCACCAACTTCCACTGTACACCCACAAACATGGTCTGACTTGCAGTACTAACGTTGGTGAACTCCTTCAACTGTGAATTGGATTGAATGCACATAAATTCCTGTTGTAATCAACAACTGTGAGAGCTTCAAGGGAGGGTCCAGACGCTCACACAGAACTGGAGTGAAAGAAGACACACATTAACCACCACATCTTCTGTATTCCCTCTCTCACCTAAGCTTGCCTTTTCTGCAGGTGCAACACCAGACATATCTCATTAGCTGCCTTAGAGCTGGCAAAAGCAGCAGAATATAAATGACTGCAGGGATCTCAACCAAAACTATCATCTTCATTATGCTTATCAAATCATGACGGATAAAGCTTCTGGGACAACTGTATACGAATGAATAAAACCTACACAGAAATACGTAAAAAATTTGCACCTCTACAAATCCAACCAAGTACACGAGCCTCTGCAAAGAACAAAGACTAATGAAATCTGACATTAATATACATTAAAGATTCAGTGATTCAGTTTATTTGCCAAAGCTCAATGATGCATTAATCCTCATCCCATCCCACACACACTCGCATGTTTCCTCCCCGGCTTTTCTCCCTTGCTCCCTAAATTCTGCAACAGCAGACAGCTGGGCTGCTCAAGGCCTTGTCTGCATCCAGAAGTTACCTCACTTTAAGTATGCAATTCTCCTTGTGTGGTTACAGTTATTCTAAGGCACGTGAGCCTCCACCAACAGAGCCTGGAAAAGGGAAGGGTCCTGTCCACACTGCTTAAACTAGGCTACCTTCCAGTGAGCACATGCATGGTTTACACCAACAAAAGAACCCTCCTGTGGGCTCACACCTTAGCAAGCTGCCCTGATTCGGTTACAGCAGGCATCACACCGCTATCGTTCTGGTAAAGAAGCAAAAATCAAAAACTTTGATCGAAACACGTATAGCACTACCAGTCACGTGAGCAGACTCACCTGTGCTGGAAGACTGATTAAGAAAGCCTGTGCATGTAAAAAATAAACCCAGCCAGTACAGCCAGTCCGGCAAAAATCCTTGTGTAGATATAGCTATGTGTTTCCTCTATAGAGAATCAGCCTGCACAGGTTTGTCAGCAAAACCCCCTGAAGCAAGGTCCAGTTCTTCTTTGTGGATCATGCTTTGAAACTCTCCTGCAACTCCTTACCATGCTTGAAACGGAAAACTCATTCATGCATCTCCATTTAACAACATATTTCTGTGATCTTCCCTTGCTGGTAACCTTCCATGTGCAGAATCGATGTTTAACCACGTGCAGAAGCTGAGAGCTTGTTCCCCTTACAACAAACCATCTTCAGTGCCACACAGTGTTTTACAACCTCGGCATCACTGCATCCACTGCCATCAAACATTATCTAGCCTAGCGCTCGCTAAAACTTTTTATGATTATTTGCGCAATGTTATGCTATCATAACAGTATGCAAACCCCACGATTTGTAACTCTTCCAGCAATAACAATCCTTCTTGCTGATCAGCCTCAGAAAAAGCTTGTAAATACATCACTTCTGCAGGCAGAAAACACTACCTCTGGTCTCTCTGCGCAGACAGCCCACCAGAACAGCACTGAGAGATCACAAAACTTCTGGCCAGGGAAATTAAAATCTTTGATGAGGTAAATCACTAAATTCACATGGAGGTGAATGGAACCATGCGATACACCCCACAAGGTGGGAATGAACACCCATTGCTTGGAGACTGCTTGTGGAAGTGTCCTTTTTGACAACAATAACCTCTTTTTCTCCTTCACTACCTCTTCAGTATCCCACTGATTTGAGTGGCACTTGAGCAGAAGTTACAGATTCTGCAGGGCCCCAAGAGAAAAATGAACGCAAAACATATTATTGCTTTTCTTTCTTTAAGGGGTGTCAAAGGTCCCACAAGAAACACGCAACCTCACAGGGAGACAACAGACCCTCTCGGCCAAGACTTCTTACACATACAGTCTAGTTTCAAACGACAGTACGTGACAATAGAACTGAGAGGACACCGTCCTCATTCCAAGGTTAAAAGGTATTTTAACATACTCTCATGTGTCTCTTCCTCAAACGCTATGCACTAGGATAGTCAATACTTGTAATGTACTTCCCTTTATCCCAAGCAAGCAGAATCACAGAAGTCTCTAGTGGCTGGAGGAATGGTGAAGTGTGGGACTAGCAGCCTGCAAGAACACTATTTTCACCAGACGAATGCTGCCGTCCCTCATTTGTGCTGTGATGGTGTCTCCAAGCATCAGCTCTGCAATAGGCTCTTACAAGCCAGGTACTACAAAAGCTTCCAAAGAAGTAACTTTCTACCCAAAATACTCTCCAATGACGTGCCAGGTTAACCTGACCAATCAAAATCAAAAAGCTAAAAAAGCGCTGGCACCTCACCTCATTACTATGCAAAAAATCCTATCCCCAGCTTGCCACGGCTAATTCTCCCCTCATCTGGTGATCAAATTGAGCAGCTGGAGAGCATGCTGTCAACTAACCTAACTGAAAAGGTGTAGCTCCACGTATTTGAAGGTGATTGCAGCGAAGCCTATCAACTCATTGAAACAAGAAAGCTCTTGTGGTGTGGACTCACACAGCAGAAGGAAGACACACAGGTCTCTTCCCATACAGCTGTACTCATGGTGAAACAGGGACATGGAATAGCACTACTTGCATACTGCTGTAAAGCCACCATCTTAAAATTCACGGACCCACCAGCTGCTGCCCCAGGAGGCCTCTGCATTTTCAGAAAGACCCTTCCATGGAAAAAGTGTCTAATGACAGGAAAACCTCACTGAAGGTGACGTGGACGGCTACCGTAATTGTTATCACCTTGGTCTTAGTTCCAGCTCCTTGGTATCAGAAGTTAAAATGACCTTTCAGAGTTGGTCCCTGAGCCAGGACTGCTAGAGGAATTCTCTATCAGCAAAGGCAACGACTCATCTGTTCACTTCAGAAAGGAGGCTCTGGTGGACATTTAACCTTTCATTGTTGAGTGGTTTCACAACAGAGCCTTTGCAGAAGGCAGCCTGCCTTCTCTCGATGCTCTACAGAAGAGTTCTGCCTGCTCCTGCCCTTGGACAAGGGACACGAGCGTACGCAGACTCAGCGGGTGTAGCTGCCCAAGTTCAACCTCAGACAGAAAAGCACCACTGCAGCCCAAGACCAAACAGCCTCAGGGTCACTGAAATGGCTCCACTTACTTTGCCAAGAATCCCCTGCCTTGGCAGATTTCCCCTTTTTCCAGTCTCCCAACAGGTACTGAGCTGGAGGCTATAATTATGAAGTCCTAGAGAGGGCTTGGTCGGCTTTACGCCCTGACTAACAACGTACACAGAGCTCTGGTGCAAACCTCTCGGGCACAGCGTGTAACCTGAGCTACGAAAGACAAAACTGCAAGCCCTGGAGCTGACACTGCCACAACACACCATCAGCAACACGCCGTGTCACACTCAACTGACCATCACCAACCCACTGCACGATCTCCTGGCTCACTTCAGCACCTTGCATGTGAAAGATGGAAGAGAACAGGTTCCTGAAAAGCAAAGCCTCTCAGAAATGACACCTGAAGCTCCCTGGATGCTATGTTGAATAATCCAGCTGGACTCTTCTCCCGGAAAACAGCCCATAATCTACTATGACGTAACTTAGAAGATAAAATCAAGTGGGTGCCCTTTATCCGTGCTTGCAGCAGCCTACCTATACCTGTACCATTCCTTTCATTGCGCTGCATCATAACCAACCATTCTGGTTATCTTCCCTTACGTGGGTCCTAATCCCACCCTGGAATTTGGTTCTGGTTTGGCACTGCCATGAAACCAGCAAACAGGAGGGCAGAATCAGACCCAAGGAACAGCCTGTTGCCCACCTCACTCTTCTGTGTAACACCTCTGTAACACCATACCTGCCACTGTTTTCCTGACTGGCTTGGCACGTACGTCGCTGGGAGGCTTCGAAGGCTGTTCTTCATGGCCGACCCTACAATCGTACCCCCCGTCTCACTCGAGGAAGGCTCACTGGCCACTGCCACTTGGTACTGGGAGTAGTTGTACAGGTTGTTATAGTAAGGATACAGGGACGGCTGGTAAAAACTGCTGTAGTAGGTGGAGTCCACAACCAAATCAGACGTGCTCTCCAAGTGCCCTCTGCTGGGGATGGAAGGGATGTCCTGAATGAGCATCCATCCCTCTGGAAAAGAGAAAAACAAGGCGTCATGAAACAGGGGGCTCCATGAAAAGACCATTACCTTCCACCATCCGAGCAGCTACTACTTCTGAAGGCTGGACAGAGACTAGTAAGTAGGAGCTGAAAGGGAAAAACGTCTGGATGTTTGGTGGAAACTCAAGTGGACTTATGTCAACTCAAAGCCCAAGACCACCAACTAGACACGCTGCAGGCTGCAAAACAGGAGACAAAACCAAGGTTAAGACCATGCTCTGAGTCCTCACACAGCAGCAGTTGATCTGATGACAATTTATACCAGCTAAGGATGCAGATCCCTATTATTCTTAAATTGTAACCGTGTGCCAAGTCTCTTTTAACCCCTTGAAAGCAGAAAGGCTTTAGCTACAGGGTGACCCCTGTCCAACCAGTGTCCTGCAGGTGAGAGGATGCTTTGTGAACGTGCCTCTAGCAAGCGCAAACAGCCACAAGGCCAAGAGAAGCTGCAGTAAGTAAAGCACTGCACGATTATCTAAGGTGTCTCAGAAACACACATGCCACCGCCAAGCAGCACGGCCCTCAATCCTTGCCCAGCCTCCATACCCAAATCCAGCTCCTGATTATCTACAAAATCACAGAGCCGAACAAGCTCACGCACCACTGGCAAAAGAGGAGGAGGAGGATGAGGGGATTGCTCATGACTTACTGCCTACACCCTGGAGTGACCCCAGGCTGGAGGCCAGCTCCCTAAGATGGGAGGGCTTCTCAGAGATGTTTTAAGTCCCATTTTCCTCAGTCCAGTGTCAACCAGTGCCTTGTGGCATTTGCAAGGATGAAAAAGAAATGTGCTTTGTCGGTACTGTTTCACAGCCGAGCTGTGCAACTGTAAATCCCACCATCCCTGCAGCTCTGCTTCTAGCTCGCATCCCTGTAACCCTGTCCCTCTGCAACCCTTACAGCGTTTGCAGCATAATGATCCCTTCTGCAAGGAGCTCCGGCTCTTGCCATGCTGTTGGCTAATTTTAGCATGCAGGAGAAAATGATGTGGCTTAAAGCACGCTGACAAGCTCTCCAGGGCTACTGGTATGGAAATGAAGCAGCATGGACAACAGACACACATGAAGTAACAGCCCTAAGAAAGACATGAGGCAGGCGTTGCCTAGTTTGTTTTGCGTCTTTCTCTCGGTGTATCTGTACTTTGGTTACTGACCTGCAAAAGGCATACGGTGGCATTCAACAGCCTCTCAGAGTCATGGTCACTGTACTGTGTATTAGCTGCATACTGGATCCAATGTTCAGTTTTACTAATTATTGCCTTTTAGAACGCAATTCTGTCTCACTTCTTCAGCTGTAATGAAAGCTCTCTGCAATCATGGATAGTCTCCTTCCAGGTCACTAAATTATACAGTGCTCCCATTCAGCTCTTGCTGACATTTTGTTGACATCAACAAACCATACCCACTTATTAGTGAACAGAGTGTTTTGTGCCTCCTGCCTTTGATTTTTCTGCCCCTCAGCCCTGTGCAAGCGAGAACTGAACCAGCCAGCCTTTTTCATTGGGAGTAACTCTCAGATACACACACAGAGCAGAGGAGTCTGCAACGCCACAAAAGACCCTTCAAAGTTTTTGCACTTTCATATTTTTATGAAATTTTTTTACTACTATTATTCTGCTTCTATGCAGGCCCCTCTGCAAGTCCTTTTGTCCATGTCTTTGACACAGTCAGGACTTAGACAACTGGCACTTGAAAAGCCAACAATTCTGATAAATCACAGCACAAGCCTGACTCCTTTCCCCAAACTTAGCTCCTGAATAAAGCTGTGGTCCAACTGTTCCCCCTTTCATGCTGTAAAACAGAAGCCGAAAGCAAAACCCTCCAACACATTCCCTGCTGGGATACAGATTTCACATGGGACAGAGACACGCAGGGCAGCCGGCCGCAGAACTTCCAGCAGGGCTATGCAATGCTGCAGAGATGTGCAATTACCTCCGCAGCGTCTTTCCACTTGCAGTGCGTCGCAAGAAGGGATGACGCTTTCCACCAAGAACACTAGCACCAGGAAGATGTGGCCTCTTTACATCTACACACGAAAGGTGAGCCACCCTGAGGTGTCTGCAGGCAAAAGGAAGAAAAAAGAAGAGCGGGAGAACGTAGGTTTTGCTGCAGCTTTTGGAAAGGTCTCATGCACTACACTTCCTAACATGGGACAAGATGGGCTAGGCTAGAACAGAGACCTGTCTACAGCTATCCACAAAATTATACAAGCACCCTTCATGTCTCTGTGATGTTCCAATGGCTGGTAGTGCTACAGCTCATTGCTGAAGAAAGAGCAGCAGTGGCAGTCTTCTGCTACATTAAGTAGGAGAATAAAACATGTTTTTGTCCCTTCTTTTCTCTTTCCACCTCCTGTCTGTGGTTGAGGTTACCATTGTTCGCCACCGGAGGTGGAAAACAGTTGATTTGCTGACACCCATTTCTCTTTACCTTGCTGCGCAACAGAAGCCAGTGCTTCAGCCCTCAGGGCTGTCACGGAGCCACCAGAACAGTCCTCTGTTTTCCTTCTGCGGTCCCTCCACTCTCCAATGGCCTCTACAGTACTACCAGCTGTCCTCTCAAGACTCAACATTGAGGCTGTAGAGCTGGTCACCTGCTCATTCAGCCAGCCATACACTTATGCCAGCAGCCCGACACATTTTTCTCTTATAAATGCAGAATTATGGAATCCATTGTCCTCGTAACACAGACGGCACACAACCCTTCTGAGCTGCGGCCACACCACAGGGATATGCCCCAGCAGATTAGAAATAAAAACAAGAGCTATGGGAAAGGGGAAAGTTCAAGTGAAAGGACAGACACACACAACTCCATACAGAACTAGAACTCCTGTGACAGCACTGGAAAGATGGCCAGAAGAGTTAATTTTCCCTAAATCCCAAGCCACATGATGCTTCTGAAGACGGAAGGACTGGCAACATCTAACAAAGAGCAGGAGAAAACTGCCACATGCTTCAGCTCACACTTTCCCCAGAATTTAGGAGATGAGATTTTCTTCAATGTCATGCTTTGGGACACGTCTCCGCTTTTTTTTCTGTGGCATCTGGAGGAGATTTGGTGGTTCATCCAGGAGAAGGGAGACATCTCACACACGAGGTCGCTTCACGCCATCCAGACTGTGGGTGGATATCAGGTCTGACCAGGTCAAAGCACCCCATGGTTACTCTAAACCCCTCACAGTCTCGAACCAGCCAGCCTGAGAGAAGGAGGCCTCTGGAGAGTGGAGGTCTTCAGCAGCTCTGGCATACGATGGGTCAAGGGCAGGTCTGCAGCCCAGCTCTACACTCTTACCCTGTCCAGCCTGGCTGAATCATCTCGTCTCCTACTACTGTGTACACCACACACATACATACTGAGAGTCTTGACTTTTTCTTCTGACCAATGAAAGCTCAGGAAGAAGAGCAGGTCAGACCAGCCCATACCTACGTGGGGTACCTTCAAAGAAGTGCCAAGTGTCAAGGGGAGCAGAATTCAAGGACAAAGAACCCTGATAAACTTTACCAGGGATAAACAAAGCGCTCATGATACCTGGCCAGAGAAGATCTCATGTTTATCGTATGCCCACAGGAGTTTTTGCCCTTTCCATGCCAGTTCTCTCCAGCTGAAGTCTGCCAGCCAGCTGGGGGCAACCACACTGCTTCTGGGCTGCAGCATCCTCAGGCACAGACACTGCTTGGAGAAGACAGGAGATCTATCAGAAGCAATGGCTGTAACTAAATTTTTACTAACTGGGGTTCCTCTGGTCGGTCTTTGGCCTGTACCTGTAATTCTTGACTCTCACCTACAGGCTGAGCCTTCCCACAGCCTTGCCTCCAGCTGCTCACTGAGCAAGGTATCCTCCTCAAGGCAAGCTGTCAGCCTGTAGCTGTGTTTTCCACCAGCAAGGAGAGAATACCAAGGTTAAGAGAGCAGCTTTCAGCTGTTGTGGTGTTTTTTTTTTTCCCAAATGTAATTCAACACAGCTGAATGGCTCTGCTGGCAAGGAGAGGGTCCTCCTCTGCCTCAGGGCTTGCCGCATTACAACACCTGCACATGAGGGGCAGCCCCGAGGTTCATTGCTCTAAGGGGAGCAATTTTCGAGAGGAATTAAGCTCTCAACAAGGCAACTGCTGCTGCACTGTCAGACTCCCACTCTGTCCCTCTACCTGCCCTTTAAAGCAAGAGGGTTGCTGCAAGAGCTGGGCTCATGCCTTGGCTGTCTTCACCCTCTACATGGAAAAACTGGGAAGGGCTCCTGGGTCTTTGCCCTGCCACTAGCCACAGATTTCAACATTTTGCAAGCTGCAAACAGGACACGATTAAAAACACGGGACTGAACCTGTACAAGAAGGAACAGAAATTTAAAAAAAGCGAACAAAAAAAGAGAATGGTTAAAATTCTTGCTCAGTTTTTGGAAGACCAAATCTACAATGTAGGACTATCAGGGGCTCTCCGTGTGTGAGCAATGCTCTTGCAGTGAGAAAACAGTATCCCTTCATGCAGTTGTGCCCTTGAATCTCCAAGCTCTTTTCTATGTCTTTACTAATTCCTGTAAAGAACCAATGCTACTTTTTTTGCACTATGTACACAGTATGAAATATGGCCCACTCCTTCATAGAAGATCAATATGATGCACGATAAATACTGTTATTGATCTTGCAGTGTTGTAGACGACCCTCCAGCTCTATGGCATATTAATAGTAGTTAACCAGTAATTCATTTCAGGATGGCTGGGATTTTCTTTTAAGGAAGGTGAGCTCTCGGGGTCAGTTACATAAATGGGTCTTATACATTCAGCAACCTAGAAGGGGTTCCCGCCTTCACTTGGCAGAGCATGGTGAAAAACAGCGGTCCAGTCCTCAGTTAATGTAAACCAGTCTCAGACCATTTACTTCAATAAAGCTATGGCGATTTACAGGAATTGCGGATATGCATGGCAAAATCAACGCAGAAGCCAGTATATAGATCATTCTTTCCCTTCTAACTTTTAGG